GTCTGTCGGCGTGGGGAGGGCGCGGAGCGGCCGGGCTGGGGGCATCCCCGGGGCGGGCTGCTCTCCTGGGCGTTTCAAAGTCTCCTTCTTCGTGGAGTCTGTTTCTTGTCTCCTGGGGAACTTCCGCAAGCGCGGAGTTAACAGGCGACCTGACCAAAGTGTTGCATGTGTGATGCTGTGTTTTGTTTGGTTTTTTTGGGTGTTTGGTGTGTGTTTTTTTTAAGTAGCAGAGGTGGATGTAGGTATAAACTCGTTTTCCAGACCTTTTAATCCAGAGTTTCTAATACTTCTAGCGAACTTGCCTAATTACATGTCCTGTTTAACACACGTACAAAAAAATTCTGAAAAGTAAGGAGTTAATTTACCCGGTTTTGAAATCTGGAGAATATCTCTGAAAGCAGCCTCCATCGCTGACTAGTATTAGTGTTTTCTGGTGTCTTTAACAAATACAATATTTATTTTAGATCTTTGAAATGTCTTTAAAATTCTTCTATTTTATATCTATATCCAATTTTTAGTAGTGTGCCGAGTCATTCTAGGCAGCTGTCTTCTTGGTTGGGCTTGATATAGTATGGAAGGACAAATGACCCAAGATTTACACCTTGCTTTTGTAGCATGATTCTGCAAATCTAGTCGGTTTTTGGCTTAAACAGAAGTGAGACAAAATAGGCAGTGCTGTCATTTCTCCTACATATTTTTACTGATAACAGTCTAAGAAACAGAAAAGGCAAAAAGGTGCACTAAGAGTAGAAAAGGTGTAGACCAGACTGAAGTAGTGGGAGATTGACCTTTTATGTAAGCAAGTTTTGAAGATTGTCTGCTTTTATATAGTGAATAGAGGCTACCCTGGAAGTACAAAATCGGGTTCATCTGCCATGTAGCCATATTTTTAGGGATGTATTTCCTTGTTCTACCTATCCTGTTACAGAGTACTATAAAAAAGGCTTAAATGAACAAGATGTTACCCAGATAGGTGTTTTTAAAAAATAATTTATATTTTTTCATAACTAGACTGAAGGAGTGCTTTACATCTGAATCCAGCAGAAAAATCTGGTAACCATTTCTGGAGAACAAGCCACATTGTTAGAACATGAAACTTGATCGTTATTGACTTCAGTTTAGCAATTTCACGTTGACCCTGCCAGACCTGATCTGGCTCCTGTAGAGCCATGCGTCTGCAGTAACCTTAGGTTGGAGGCAGTGCCAGACTTAAGCTGGCAGTTATTGAAAGTTTGCTTCATTTTTTGCAAGGGAAGGAGGTGTTAGCTGGCTTCATTTTTTACTGGTTTAACTCCTTGGACCAATGTAGGCTTCAAGGATCACAGAAGTACAAGGGAAAGAAGAAAATAAATAAGCAAAATGCAGGTTTTACCTGGGAAGGGCAAGATTACAACGGTACTGTCTTAGATTTGCTTGAGCTTTAGCAGACTGACACCCCTAGGGTTATGATGCTTACCTTCCTGTGGTTGCAGTGGTTTCTGTCCTCAGCTCTCTGTGCTGCTTCTCTGAAACTGCAAATCTGAGGCTAGGATAGGAAAGCTGTTTTCCTAGTGACTACAAAGCCTGCCACAGCTTACTGCCTCATGTATTGAATTTACCCCAAATCAGTTTGTCTTGATGTACCATGATAGAAGTTGAAGTAGTTTGAATCTTCCCTGCAGCTTTGCCCTTAGGTGCTGTGGAAATAAAAATTACAGGAACAGACAAGAGGCAACTTCAGTGCCTTTTATCTCAGTAAGGAAAGGGCAACTGTTTAAGAGTTTCTGTCCTCATTTTTCTTTGTTACCTGAGAAAATGAGCAATGTCTGGGCAGATGAATCTAAAATAGAAATACTGGCTGTTTCTGGCAGAGAAAGTAAAAATACTCAAATCTGAATTCCTGTGGCACGTTATATTTCTGTCTTCTGGTATAATAGAGTCCAAATTAGTGACAGATAGGCCAGGTCTAACCTGAAGGATGTTTTTGTTTAACTCGTTATATTTTCTTTGGAGGAGATTTAAGATGTGTTTGCGTCCATAATAATTGAATACTTTTTTTTGTGCATGGTATGTGCTCACATGTCTGTGGCAGCCCATGTTAGGGCAGAGGTATTTTTCCACTGTATGTGTGTGTTACAATATTAAGCCTGGAGGTTGTCACTTTTATACCTTTCTGAGCCTTAAACCTGCCCTCAAGTTCTGTAACCTCAGACTGGAGTGTATCAAGATGATAAATATTTGGATACTGTCCAATATTATCAAATTGACCAATATGTTTGCATGTGTATGTCACTCCTGTGAAAATTACATGCAGATAATTATTAAGGAAAATTATTATATACAAAGTAGTAGAAGATGGAGGTTCTGGTGAGAGACCTACAGCCTAAAAAAATGAAAATTGTGTATTATTTCCTTAAAAGGATATGCTGACATCTGAAAAGCTAAGTCCTGTAATTAGGGTTTGGCTTTGTGCTTGCTCTGGTCTTAATATGCCTGAGTGCCTTGGCACAATTCTGCTAGTTGTTATATCTACAAAATGGCGAAAGCTTTTTTCAGAAGAAGTTATGAAAATACCAAAGCAATGGAAAATAAACAAAACTTGTTGGACAGTTTATAGTCCTCCTGATTGCTTTTAGATAGATATTTCATTGTTGTGTGCACTATTCTAATGTTTAGGAGGTGTTTTAGTGTTAAAGGGCTGAATGAGACATTAAAACTTGGGATTTTTACCTTTGTGAATTGGTTTTAGAGTTTATATTTTCCTCTGACAAACTATTCTTAAGATGGAATCCTGAGAATCAGATCGAGTCTTGTTCTTGTTTACTTTTAGATGCCTGTCTTAGATGTCAAGCTGAAAACAAACAAGAAGATTGTGTTGGTATGTAGTGATTTCATTCGCTTGTTTTTCAATTGAAGCTTCACTCAGTAGGGTGCATTTTAAACTTCGAAGGGAATACTGATTTTTTTTTTTTAATGCTCAAAAGTAAACCAGTGTTTTGTTCTATATTGTGTCATCTTTTTACATTAGTAATAGTCTGTGCTTTATTTTTGAGCACTAATAAAATTAGTTTTCACTTCAGACATGTTGTAATACAAAACAGCTTTAAATTTGCAGTCAACACATGCAACTGAGACTTAGAAGTTTCTCTCACCCAGAGCATAGCTGAGGAGAGAATAATGTACACTTTTGAAGTGGTTAGGAAAAGGCTACTTTTTTTTTTTTTTTTTTTTTCCTGAAGTGCATGCCAGAAGACAATGGTAGTATCAATAAAAAATCTCTATTCTGAAATAAACGTTTGTCTGGGTTAGAAAGCATATTTTTTGCCATTCATAATTCAATTCTAGTAGAGGCAATTGCTTGTTTGTTGACTTTTCACTGAGTTGGCTGTAATGCTGTTTAAACATAAACATACTTTCAATTACAATGCATGCAAAACCAAATCTTTATTACATTTAAATTAGAATTAGTGAAAATTGTCTCAAGAAGGTTTGCTTTCAACCTTGAAACCTTTCCATACCGTTGTTCTTTCTGTCTGTATTTTCTCAAACTTAATCCATTGTTGGTTTGATGATTGTTTTAACAAGAGTAGGATAATTTCCTGTTCCAGATATCTTAATTGAGTTGCTAAGTGTCCTATTTAAGACAGTCAGAGAGAAAGAAAAGTGTAATTTATGACACTTCTTTGATTGATACCCTTGTATTCCAATAAGGTTATACTGTATGAAGAGTGCCTCCTTGATATCATACATCCTAGCTAAAATAATGCATTTCAGATGAGAATTTGGTGATACCTGCTTGTGTGATAGTAAATCTGTAGCATTGGATATATTTTAGTACCGGGGAAGAGAAAGTGAAGAACTTAGTTCTACTTATTTCCTGGACAGAACTGATAAATGTGTTTATGCATTCACAGAAGTGTGTCATTTTACGCAAGGAAGTGAGAATATCTGTATTTCTTTTTCATAATTGGAAATAAAAGGGTTGATGACAGAGGACTGGTTATCATCAGAATGATCATAGCAATCCAGTCTCAGTTGATGAATCAGTGATGATCCATTTTGTCTCTAAAGCTTGTAGTGGGTCTAAACATCTGAGAAGGGTATTTTGGACCTTGCTGTAGGTGTTGACTGGACAGCTGAGTGTGACTAGAACATGTTCTTTCTTCTCTTTCAGTGGTTTGGGGAGAATGCAATCATTCCTTCCACAATTGCTGCATGTCCTTGTGGGTGAAACAGAATAATCGCTGTCCCCTCTGCCAGCAGGACTGGGTAGTCCAGAGAATAGGCAAATAAAAGCACTGGTAGTGGAGGTTTTTTCTCTTGAATTTGTTGAAATAGTGTACATCTTATGCCACTTGCCCAAACAAAAGCATGGAACATGTCAACTATGGTGTGATTTATTTAGTTTGTCTGCTGAAAGAACAGTGTGGTTTTGTTGGATGCTCTTTACTGTAGGAGGAGGCAATGGTCAGTCCTGCTGCAGATATTTCGACAAGAGAGAGACAAAGCACTGACAAATGTATCTGTTCCGATTTGAGAATTGATTGTATTGGTGCATGCAATTGTGGTGCTGCAGATTAGACCGTAAATACAGTTTGCTTAATGCTTTTGCATAGATACATGAATTAATTTGAAAGGGCAACCTTACCTGTAAGTCTGATACTCTGCATAGTTTACTGTCAGGATAAATACATTGTTTTCAAAGTAATATTGTATACAAGAACACAGTTGGTGAGTTTTTTAGAAACTTATTTAAAATCTAAAATGAATAGTATGTAAAGTATTGCTATGGGCTTTTTCCATCACACTAAACTAAACATTTCTAACTTAGGCTTTCTTTATGACTTCAGAAAATTTTGTTTTGTTGTATGTCTAAGTTTGTTGCTGTAATATAATATATTCTATACGTGATTTCTGCAGCCACAGTATTAAAATTTAACCTCGTTAATATTTTTTTAATTTATATTTCTATTAAAGATTATGGAGACATGTACTTTTAATCCAGATATATTGATATCTATTACCTGGAGGCATAAAAAATCTCGCTGGTTAGCTGACTAGTATAGAAAGCAAACAAAACTGATAATTTAAATATCCCAAGGAAAGCAGGTAGTAATAAAATCTAGGGAAAAATGTTAAATTGTGGTTTCATGAAAATTCAGTAAATAGAAATTTCTGAATCACTTTATTGGCTACAATATTTTGGAAGTGGGAGAAAGCATTGTTACGTTTTTGTGGAAATCCTCAATATGTCATCTTTTTAAAATGAATTGTGATTTTTTTTTTTTTCTTATAAATATTTAGATACTTGCCACTGTGTTTTCTCTAAATATCCAAAGTAATTACTGTTAATCTGAACATATTCTATGAGGTTTTTCTTTAGTATATGTAATAGAGGGGTTGAATGACTACTTTAAGTCTGTAACAAATTCAGGCTTAATAAAATTGTAATAAACCTGAGCAAAATTGAAGCAATATTGTATTGTGTTGTTTACTTCAAAGTTAACTATTTAAATGTTTAAGATTAATGCATTTCTCAGCAGATATGTTTCTATCTAGTTCTGCTGTTTTAAGTATGCTTAAAGAGGTTTATCTTCATTGTATAAAGTAGGTTCAATGGCAATCTTTGTGTCAATAATACATGCAGAATTTACTGGGTTTTGTGTTTGATGCTTGTAATCTTGTTTTTAAAATGTTTGGAATTTTTTAAATACAGATTTTTTTCCTCATTACACACTGAGATAAAAAATCCTCTGTGTCACTGTCACAGTATTTCTCATTGGTTGTTATTTTCCCAGATGTCTGTTTTAACATTGAAAACTAATATAAAGTGGATTGATAGTAGTAATGAAGTGCCTATAGCATTTACTTTGCAGTAGAGTATTTCCTCTTGGGTTTTTTGTTTGTGTAAAGGGGTTCTACCTAAAATGATTGCAGAAGAAAATCTGGTTGGATGTGGAAATAGTTTTTAGCTTTAGATGTTAAACTTTATCTTGTCTACCACCTATCTTCTCTAACAAAATTTGGTCCCCAGCTCAATCTTCTAAGCTCTTTTAATTCTATCTTGTTCCATCAGAGGACTTATTCCTTCACTTTGCTGTGGGTTATAGGTCAATATGGCAAGTACAAAAGTAATTTTCACCTTGCTTCCAGTTCGTATCATGTGCATGACAAGAGTAGATGAGAATTATAATTGTATAAAAAAATTTCCAAAGTGTTGGCTGGAACACATGTAACTCAAATGAAGTATTAGGAAAGTTAATTTTGAAATCAAAGCAGCTGATATTTGTCTGTACCTACGTGTGTATTTTAAGTATCTTATTAACCACTAATTGGAGGTTCATCTAGAATATAAGGCAGTGAATTTTAAGTCCTGCATATTTTCTCTGTGATTTAGAGAAGATTAGTGTAAGTTCCAGTCTTTCTATAAGCTTTACAGGAGTGACATTTCCTTCTGTTCCAAATCATACCCTGATATTCCGTTAGCAGAGGTGTTGTTTATACATACCCAGTTTTAATCCTGAATTTGTTCACTTCTTGTACATGCAAAATAAATCAGTTTTGCTTCTCACCCAAACTGATGAGTAGGTAACACTAACTTAAATAGCCATTATTGACTAGCAGATTAATGCCGATCTACTTCTCTATGCTGTTTAATAAATGCGGGACAGATCTGGATAATTCTAGCTAGAGTCTTCAGAAGTGACTGAAGTAGTGAATATGTGTGTGAAGATCAGATTGTTTCACTTGGATTTTTATAAAGTTCTGTTATTTTAGAGAAAGCTTGTGTTCCATAGAAATCAGGGAATCTTCTAACAGCAGAATTGCATTCAGAGCTGTGAATGGGTCTCTCTTATGCAGATTCCATAAGCATTAGCTGTTTTCTTGATTTGTTTGTACTTAAGTAAATTAGTATCTGCTTTCAGCTCAACTTCACCCTTAGGTCCCCAGCTACCACCTATATGTACTGCTACTCTTAATTCTGAGCTGTGGTAGCATTCCTG